GGAGAGAAGCAAGGAAAGTGAACCTCTATGGTCCACACACGGAGCACACAATCTAACTATGATAACTGCCTTTTCAAGCATTCTGACCTGATTAGAATTGACAATAAGAATGACACTGCTGCCGGTTAGTCGCCATATACTTCAGTGTCTCCAACTAACCAGTTGCAAAATCTTTCGACCCCAACCAGGAAGACGAGACACCGATTCTACCTAATCGCTCTGTGCGTTTCTTCATGCCCCGCTTCCACGTTATCTGCTGGCTTCCATGCGGTTTCTCCCAACCGCAACTGCGAATAGGCTGCAGTGCGGCAGACGATGGTCGGGCATGCGCAATACGTGTCCTAACCAGCGAAGCTCGCTAATTGGAATTCGATGGGACAACGAATTCTCCATCAAATCATTACAGCAGAGTTGCTTACATGCTTGCTCCATCTAACTCGTGTCAAACTAATTTAACGTTGACAGTCAAAGACTTCTAGATGATGAATATCTTCCACACGCAAATTGAGGGTCTCGCAACCATAAAGCAAAACAGACAGCACACTGGCGCAGTATACGCAACCTTTCAGTTTTAACAAAATATTACGTCTTTATCAAAGGTGTTTCAGTCCTGCGCATGCTGCTTGTGCCTTGGAAATGCGGGCGGTAACTTCCTTGACTACGCCTCCGTCATTCGTCACGCAACTACCCAAGTCGGAGAAACATTCCACTGCTGCTAACTCTTAACCATCAAGCATCAGCGCTGAGGTAGACGGCACCCAGTCTTGTAGCATCATTTTGCATACCAAAAAGATAATCGACTTTGTTTTCGCTTGGTCCAACTTGATGTTCATCCTGCCGGAGCCTGATTCGACACCCCGCTCCACGTCAAAGGGCTTCGGTCGCCGGTTTTCACGACAGAATTGTAAATGCTCTTGATTATGGGGGTTGCCTTTACCATTTCCCCCCATACTGTGATATGATCTGCAGCTCTACTGGTCAAACTTTGGGCACCCGAAGACTCCGACTTCCAATCCGCAGTAAAACAGCCTGCTTTCGTTTGGGCAACCTGAAAAAATTACCCAACAAACTAATCAGGGATCGATTTCGCTGCTACAACCGTTTCTGCACTCACCGGTACACAGTCCCATCTAAAACCAGTGTAAGAATATAAATACAAAGGTAGTCAACGTAATCCCTGGTGCTGCCGTGGACCTCTTTCGCCTCACTTTTAGTCAAGCACAAAAGCGCTATCTTATAATTTTGTTGCTCTCAATTCTCGTGATAGATATTGTCCTGAGGAGCGCTCTGTCTGACCCTACCTCACAGTGAAATAACGCTTCATTCGTCCACCCTATTCGCCGACTAAGTGTCTGCTGTGACGGTATTCTCCTATCCGCCGAACTTGTGCGAGTACTACTGGAAACTGTATCGAGTCGCTTGTCAACTGAGGTGTTCTTTTTATTGAGTCGGAATTCTTGGAGAAGTGTGTGCATCCACAGTCAGACTTTGTTGACCGTCCCTCAAAACAGGTACATTCTTACCCACTTTGTGTATATCGTGAGTTTGTCAGTGATCAGTGCAGCTCGTCTTGCTGTTCTCGCTGCATGATGATGATGATGATGAGGCATTCCTGCAAAGCGTGTTCTGCACAATTTGTTTTTTCAAGGTGCCTGCTCACACCCACCGTGATCAATTTGGTATACTTGTCATCCGGCATCAATACGTCAGATTGTACTGACAAAGATCCCTCAAAACTGTTCTTCTCCGCTGGGCACTAACCAAGAATCAAGCCGGGAACACCATTCTTATCCTGATCCGGATTCAACCGGTATAGTAGTCACTTTGGATTGCGGTTTTTATCTCATTTGGCCTCTGTTGTGTTTTAGACGTTCACCTGATGCTCTAACTGTTGTGATATTAGACCACAAATGAACAGCTCAGCTTTTCAAATGGAGTCATCGAGTTTAATTTTTTATCACTAGACCACCGAAAATGAACGTAATAACCCCCAAGAAAAAGTTTAGCGCACGATCAAAGTGAAATGCGTATTTGCTGATTTTCTAATAGATGCTTCCCTTTAGAAGGTGTCATATGTCATAAATAGCCTACGATTCAACTCGGGTAGGATCTCACAAGAGGTGTTCCATATTTTGAAGATTCACTTTATCCATCTGGTAGTGAATCTCGAGGATGGACTTGTTGGCCGATTTCCGCCGCATGTGCAGATGAAGCCATATGCAATCCATTTTTTAGCCATCAACCTCCGACAGTGCATCAGATGAATTATCTGATGATGAGTATACCGATCACAGTTGAGCGTGTTGTTCGGAATCTGTGGCGTTTGTAAACTACGAAATCATTTGTATAAACGAGTGTAAAAAAATTAAAACAGTCGCTAAAGCTCTAGCTCTCAACCGCATCCTCATCCACCTATATTGGACAGATCTATTTTATCGTGTTATTTAACTGAAAATACACGCTGATCATCGGAAAATTAAAAAAAAATAAAAAAGGTGAATTCTCAGCAGTTTACGACTTTCTTCAATGTAGCACTATCGACAGGGGAAAAACTGAAATAAATTCAGCAATATGGTGCGGCGCGTAATTCGAGGAAAAGATAAGGGATCTATAAAATTGTATAAGATTGACTAAAAGACATGCGAATCCGGACCGTCTGTCGAGGTAAGTTCAAAATTAGTACGTGTTCAGTGTGTACTAACGTTCAAATAGTGGTCGTAACAATTGTGTTCTGTTGGTGAACCTGCAACGAAACACCGCCTAACCGTTCGCATCTCTTCCCTGTTTTTACCCGATCCAACCAAAAACACTCGGTTTTTCCAACTAAAGAATCTGTTTGACGCCCCTCATGGCAACCAGGTGTAGTTTGTTTGGTTGTGAATTTGCGACAATCCTCTGAAACAACCCTTCCTCTTCGACACGCACTGTCTCTGGATTCCTTGATTGCCCATTATTACGAACAATCATCTCAACTGTAATTTACTCTCACATTGTTTTTTTTTGACAGACTCTGATGGTAAATTGTACCTCGAAAGACCAACAGGACGAATTGTTCTCGGGCTGTGAGATGCTCATCACAGCTGAACAAATGGGTGAACGTTTCAAATTCCTGGCTGTCGTTCCGCGCGGGGACAGAAAACGAGCTTTACCTGGTTTCACCGATCTTCCGGGGACACCGTATGCTGCGGGAGTGGGTCCGCAATACCCCTGAATTTTAGGCATACTGTAATGTTCAGTCTCTTCTCTCTGCCCCTGCAACCTCCTTCACTTTCTGATGTATATCACTGTATATCCTATTTGATCTGATGAGATTTCAAATAGTATTTTTTCTTTACTGGATTTTGCCGTGACGTATTCTATTTGTGGATTGGGTTAATATTTGCCACACATTAATTTTGGAGCCTCCGATACATACTCAACCCCATCCATTCCACTAATTGAACAGTGGAACTTACCCATTTCGTACGATGTGTCTGAAAACTGACACTCGAAATTCCACGAACCTAGCAACTGATCGGAAGCCTGACATACATACTTGTGTGACGGACAGATTGAAGCTAGTGGAGAAAGTTGCTGTCGTATCACATTTGTGCCTACGCACCTAAGCCTACTCATTCATGCAGGGTGGTGGTGGCACAGTGGTTTAGTCGCTGTCACTAGCGTGCTTTGGACCCTATGGTCCGAGGTTCGAGCCCCGCCACCCGACTTTGCTGTCATCCGGTTCAATATCACGTCTAACCTATCGGGGTTTTATGTGGTTCGCCACTCCAAGTCCCAGGGCTTAGATTACCGGTTTCCACCACTGATCAGCAGGTCTTCGTAACTTTCGGGCTCGTCCCGTCTGCTGTTCATCACGTTTGGGTGTAATAAAAAGTTTGCTCACCGGATTCACCCAGACTTTACTGCCCAATAGAGAGCATTTGTCCCTTGCAATACTAAAGTTCCGATTTTTATCCTCCAAAATACAGCCATATAGATACATATATGTGAGCGTGAAATTTGTCGTGTTCTTCTTTAGGGAATTTAGCTAACTATTCACGTGCTACTTTTGATACAGTAATCAGAATTCGCTTTCGGACCCGAGTTTGCTGATGTTTGGCCAAATCCAACCGAAAGAAGCAACAATCAATGGTGGTGTTGGATTGAACGGTTCAAGTGCGTTTATCAAAAAATTGTGCCCAGAGATACATATACAGTGTTTTCGTCGTCGCGTTATAAGTAAGTTTATTAGGTGTGACTACGTAAGCAGTCATCATATAGGTTCAAGACGTTTGTCATCACTCAGGCGAGTTGCACACGTGGTCCGTTCTTGTGAGACATTGTCAACAACTGTTCAGTCAAGCCTGAATTCAGTCACTCGCTCTAAAACCCTATCCTTGTTGTTTGTACGGCTCAGAGAACTATAGTGTTCGTAGAATAATCATCCAGGACATATACGAGTAGTCTGAAACATGTATGCTTACAAAATTTAGCGAAACGGGGTGAGTCGGTGAAAGCCTGGAGTTCTTTTCTCCGGCTAATTGGATGATTTAGTCCCGTTGAGCGCAGCAGGAAGGGTCACGTGATTTGTTTTGCTCTCTCCCTCTGTGTGTGTGTGTGTGTGCATAATCGAGGTCAACTGGACCAGAGCGAACGCATCTTTTGTTCTCTTGAACGGATAAACCCTGACGGAACTCGACGTGAATGTAGCCTCCCGCACACCGTTTATCAGAGCACCGGTTTCAATCCAATTCTACATGAAATTGGACTCCCAGGGTTAGAATTGTGCGACGCTTTGAAACGAGTCGGTCAACCATTTCCCGGTTGACCGTCGGCCCCATCGCATCGTCTTAGATCACAAACGAAAGGAGCAGAGAACGTGTACGGTCACTGATGCATATTTATTTGTATTCTGTGGGGTTTTTTGACATTTTTATTTTAGACATTTTAGAAACGATAGATTCCTTGGGCACGCAAATGAAATCTCGGACTAGTTTTGATTCAATGCAAACGTTTAAACTATTGTGGATACGAGTTCCGTATATAACCAGTTGAAATTGAACATGGTGATGAAACTTTAGCTCCCAACTTAAACTGCACCTTGATGTCGCTTTCCCGTGGTACTTTTGAAGTGATAACAGTGTAATGAAATTCCTTGACTCGCACACAGTTCCCCGAGCTTGGCGAGTGGTTTCCACCATTCCGTTGTGTGAAGAAAATATCACTGATACAATTTTCAATACTCTTTGAATCTAATGCTCCGTACACGGCTCGATGTTTTGTAATCTAAGTCCAGGTGTGGACACAGAAAGCACATGTTGCGTTATCTATGCACCTCGGAAAAGCCTTCACTTGCCCCCTTCCTTTGGCGTATGCTTCTCCCACTTCAAATATTTTGAACCTTGTACACGGTCGAGTTATCAGGAACAGAGCGGACATAGCCCTTGGCGATCGTTTTGAAGTGCGCTCAAATCGGAGCTCCACGTTTTGATCGCTACAGTGCGCATTGCTCATGAGTCCCAACAAGGATAAAATAGTTTTGTATTTGTATAACTTGTGTAAGCATATATGCTTACATTTCAGTTAGTAATGTATACTGTTCGTCACGCAGAATGAAATGATAATAATAATAATAAAAACGAAAGGTAAAAAATGTCGGTGATATTGGTTTCACGTACAAAACTTTTGACGTAGTTCATTTGAGACCTGTTCCTTGTTGGTAAATAGTCGGGCGAGGTAGGGTGCAGGGGAATTTTATAAATGTAAATGCGAGAGGGTAGATGTCGAAATGAGGAGCGTGTGGACCGATGGGAACCACAAGACGATAGATCAGAGTGTAGTGGATGAAGAGGATCATTTAGAATCTTTTGAGCAGATTTAAAACAAGAGTTAATGTGACCATCAATGAGTTCTGTGAATAATGAATCGATCGGAATTAATGATGCACGACTGATTACCACCAAACCACGGTAGAATGGGTAAAACGCATTGATAAACGAAAGTTGACAGGACTGACTGTGGGGTTCGGAATTGCCTGAGTTTGCGTAACTGAAAAGATAGGCGTCTCAGTTTTCTCATACAGTTGTAAATATGTGTAGACCAACGAAGATTGTTATTGATGATGACGCCCAAGTACCTGACTGAGGTCATTCTGGATACAGATTTACCGTTAAGGGTAGCAGAGTCCGTTGGAAGTGAGGAGCGAGAAAGACTGAAAATACACTCTACGCACTTAGATATGTTAAGACTGAGACCAGATTGTTCTGAAAACTGTTGGATTTGGGATAGGTTTTCGATAAATGAATGAAGGAGATGTAACTATCT